TAATGAAAATGTGGTACATATACACTATGAAATACTACTCAGCTGTAAAAATAAACAAAACAAATTAAAATGAACTTTGCAGGTAAATGGATGGAACTTGAAATGATTATACCAAGTGAGGTAACAGAGACCCAGAGAGACAAATGTGGAATGCTGTCTCTCATCTGTGGTCTAGCTCCAAAATTTCAGGTGTGGGTAAATAACCTGGAGTAAATGCAGGTACCAGCAAAAAGGGACTGTGGGGGTAGCAACAGAGAGGAGACTATCAGAGTACTAGTGATTTGAAGGGAGAAATGAAAATGGAGGTGAGAAGGAAATCAGTACAGAGAGGGGGAGTGTAAATTAACAGTAAGGATTCTGAAAGCAACCCCACAAGAATCATATCATTTCTATTTACCTAAAATTACATATAGTACATACAAGTCTGTATTATACATATATAGTATAAATGAAATTTCCCACCAGGACTGACAGTGTTCCCAAAAGAGACATAGACTATGTAACAGAAACCCCAATACCAAACATGAGAAGCCCCTTTTCAAGTTGCTCACTGGGCAAATCTAAGAGACTTCACAAACATTATAGGCTATTGTTGTTGCCTTTATTTTTCATCCTAGGATTTGAAGGTATATTTCTGTTCCTGATGATGCCATACACTTCAGACACAGGATTCTGAGGATCTGGGCTAGATGTCCCCTGAAAGCATCCTCCCTGAGGACCAGCCTTCATGGTAACAGAAGATGCCATGCAACCCCCCAAAGGGTGAAGCAATCAATAGTCCTCTCCAGCTGTGATACCTATGCACAGCAATGACCAACACGGCAAGATAACACAAAGGGTGCAGCAGTGGCATGTATGCCTTGGCAGCAACCAACAGCTCACTAATTAGGCCCAAAGCCTGCTCACCAGGGCTAGTGGGGTCATGAATCTTGGAGGAGAGTCCACAACCACAGCTTTACCAAACCATCACAATTCCTAAATATGTTCTAAATATTTATCCTCATAACCACAGATACATGTAGACCTCCCCCGTTATCAAAGAAACTTCAATAGATAGAGAGCATTCCAGAAAATTACAACTGACCAAAATCCAGAAAACAAGTAAGTGTGTAGTGCCTAGCTCAGCTGACACATCTATAACACAGCTCCTACACCTAAGTCTCAGGGAACATCAAGGAAGAGGTTGTGGAAAGATTTTAAAAGCCAGAAGGACAGGAAGTCTAATCTGAGATTATGTCTCCTAGAAAAGTCAGGGAAGCTATACCCATGAAATCTGAATGACATGGTTGCCTAAAGAAGACCCAAACAGGAGGGAAACATGGAAAGGGAAATCTCACAGGGCCCCAACTATACACAAAAGAACTACAGGCAACTAAGGAATGTCAAGAGAGGAAGAAATAGTCTTCCTCAGGGAAGAACATCCTAATTGGCTGTACATTACCTGAAATCATAAATGTACATGAAACATTAATTATACGGACTAACAAGGCTGGAGTTTCATATTTTACAATACATACATACCTTCTTATCAACAATTAAAAAAGAGATCACAAAACTGAGAGTAAAGGGGGAAGTAAATGAGATGATCAGGTGGTTATATTTTTCAGTTTGTTTATATGGTGGATTACATTGATGGATTTTCATATGTTGAACCATCCTTGCGTTCAAGTAGGATGAAGCCTACTTGATCATGGTGGATGATTTTTCTGATGTGTTCTTGGATTCCATTTGCTAATATTTTGTTGAGTATTTTTGCATCGGTGTTCATGAGGGATATTGGTCTGTAGTTCTCTTTTTTAGTTGTATCTTTGTGTGGCTTGGGTATCAAAGTGATTATAGTCTCATAAAAAGAGTTTGGCAATGCCCCTTCTGCTTCTATTATGTGGAACAATTTGAGGAGTACTGGTATTAGCTCTTCTTTGAAATTCTGGTAGAATTCTTCAGTGAAGCCATCTGGCCCTGGGCTTTTTTTGGTTGGGAGGCTTTTGATGACTGCTTCTATTTCATTAGGGGTTATAGGTTGATTTAAACTGCTTATCTGTTCTTGGTTTAATTTTGGTGAGTGATATCTATCCAGAAAATTGTCCATTTCCTTTAGATTTTCAAATTTTGTGGAGTACAGGTTTTCAAAGTATGACCTGATGATTCACTGGATTTCCTCAGTGTCTGTTGTTATATACCACTTTTCATTTCTGATTTTGTTAATTAGCGTGCTCTCTCTCTGCCTTTTGGTTAGTTTGGATAGAGGTTTGTCTATCTTGTTGATTTTCAAGAAGAACCAACTCTTTGTTTCATTGATTCTTTGTAATGTTTTCCTAGTTTCTACTTTATTGATTCTAGCCCTCAGTGTGATTATTTCCTGGGGTCTACTCCTCCGTGGTGAGTTTGCCTCTTTTTGCTTTAAAGCTTTCAGTTGTTCTGTCAATTCTCTAGTATGACTATTCTCGTTTCTTCATGTGGGCACTTAGTGCTATGAACTTTCCTCTTAGCACTGCTTTCAGAGTGTCCCATAAGTTTGGGTATGTTGTGTCTACATTCTCATTAAATTCTAGGAAGTCTTTAATTTCTTTTTTTATTTCTTCCTCAACCCAGGAATGGTGCAATTGGGTGTTATTCAATTTCCACCAGTTTGTAGATTTTTTGTAATTTGTATTGCTGTTGAATTCTAACAAACTGAAAAGGAAAAACCACATGATCACCTCACTAGATACTGAAAAAGCCTTTGACAAAATCCAACATCCCTTCATGATAAAGACCTTGGAGAGAACAGGAAGAACAGGAACATATCTAAACATGATAAAAGCAATATACACCAAACCAATATCCAACATCAAACAAAATGAAGAGAAACTCAAAGTGATACCTCTGCAATCAGGAACAAGACAAGGGTGTCCACTCTCTCCATATCTGTTCAATATTGTACTTGAAGTTCTAGCTGGAGCAATAAGACAAGAAAAGGAGATCAAGGGGATACAAATTGGAAAGGAAGAAGTCAAATTTCACTATTTGCAGATAATATGATAGTCTACATAAGTGACCTAAAAAACTCTACCAGGGAACTTCTACAGCTGATAAACACCTTCAAAAGCAGCAGGATGCAAAATTAACTCAAAAAAATATAGTCCTACTATATACAGATGATAAATCCAATGAGAAAGAAATCAGAGAAACATCTCCCTTCACAATATCCACAAGCAACAAAAAATATCTTGGTGTAATGCTAACCAAAAAAGTGAAGAACCGACAACTGATTTTTGACAAATAAGCTAAATCTATACAATGGAAAAAAGAAAGCATCTTCAACAAATGGTGCTGGTGCAACTGGATTCAGACATTCAGAGGATTGCAGATAGATCCATATCTGTCACTATGCAGAAAACTTAAGTGCAAATGGATCAAAGATCTCAACATAAATCCGGCCACACTGAATCTTCTAGAAGAGAAAGTGGGAGATACCCTTGAATGGATTGGTACAGGAGACTGCTTCCTGAACATTACACCAGTAACACAGACATTGAGATCTACAATTAATAAATGAGACCTCCTGAATCTGAGAAGCTTCTGTAAGGCAAAGGACACAGTCAGCAAGACAAAATGGCAGCCCACAGCCTAGGAAAAGATATTACCAACCCCACATCTGACAGAGGGGTAATCTCCAAAATATATAAAGAACTCAAGAAGCTAGTCTCCAAAACATCAAACAATCCAGTTAAAAAGTGGGGTATAGAACTAAATAGACAATTCTCAATAGAGGAATCTAAAATGGCTGAAAGACACATCAGAAAGTGTTCAACATCCTTAGCCATCAGGGAAATGCAAATGAAAACAACTCTGAGATACCATCTTACTCCTGTAAGAATGGCTAAAGTCAAAAACACCAATGACAGTTCATGCTGGAGAGGATGTGGAGAAAGGGGAACACTCCTCCACTGCTGGTGGGAGTGCCAACTTGTACAGCCACTTTGGAAATCAGTATGACGACTCCTCAAGAAAATGGGAATGAGTCTACCACAAGATCGAGCAATTCCACTCCTAGGCATATACCCAAAAGAAGCACATTCATACAACAAAGACATCTGTTCAACGATTTTTATAACAGCACTATTTGTAATAGCCAGAAACTGGAAGCATCCTAGATGCCCCTCAACTGAATAAAGAATAGAAAAAAATGTGGTACATTCACACAATGGAGTACTACTCAGCGGGGGGGAAAAAAAAACAATGGAATCTTGAAATTTGCAGGAAAATGGATGGAACTAGAAGAAATCATTCTGAGCGAGGTAACCCAATCACAAAAAGACAAACATGATATGTACTCCCTTATATGTGGATTTTAGACATAGAGAAAAGGATTACCAGCCTACAGTCCACACTGCCAGAGAAACTAGGAAACAAAGATGACCCTAAGAGAGACAAACATTGTCCCTTGGAGAAAGAGAAAGGGTCAGGATCCCCTGAGCAAATTGAGAGCATGGGAAGAGGGGGAAGGGAGCTAGGAGAATGAGAAGGGAAGAAGAGGAAGGATACAGAGGTCATGAGGGAGCAGAAAGGTTGAGTCAGGGGAAGAATAGAAGAAAGGATATGTGATAGGTAGGGTTTTAGTTGCAGGGGGGGTGGTAGGGGAAGACGGGAGGGAGAAGGGAACTGGGATTGTCATGTAAATCAATCTTGTTTCTAATTCAAATTAAAAAATGATAAAAAAGGGGGAGGGGGAAGTAAGTGGGAGGGGTTGGAGGAAGGAACGGGAAAAGGAAATGCTGAAATTACATTTTAATTCCAAAACCAAACTATTTTCAATAAAGAAATACAATTAACCAGAAGGAAAAGTCATTTCTTTCTCCATCATCACTAGATCATGACTGTTGACACCATGTATCTCTGTGGGAGGCATTGTTGATTTTGCAGGATCCATAGACTCTGCAGGCTAGGCTCTAGTGAGCAGCATGCTTTTGTGTGCTCTTGCTGCAGCTAAGCCATGCCATGTCTTTGCTTAATTCTAGGTTTGTATCTTCCTACCAGAGGAAAGGTCTTTATTAGTGGATATGACATCTCATCTGACATGGTTCAAGTTAGGAAAAGCTTGGGCTTGTGTCCCCAGGATGATCTGTTGTTCCCGATGCTGACAGTGTTAGAACACCTTTATTTCTACTATGTGGTAAGCACTTCCTTTCTGCACTCTTCATATCCTCCAGGCAATGTGAACAAGGATGTGAAGCTTTACTTTCATCAGAAGTTCATGCTGGAGGCACCAAGAGGGGCGAGCATATGCAGGCAGCTCTGTTAAAGCCCCAATGTAGAAATTTTCTAAGCACATGGTTATCTCATATCCTCCAGGCAATGTGAACAAGGATGTGAAGCTTTACTTTCATCAAAAGTTCATGCTGGAGGCACCAAGAGGGGCAAGCATATGCAGGCAGCTCTGTTAAAGCCCCAATGTAGAAATTTTCTAAGTACATGGTTAAAAATACTGCATAAACCTTGGTTCCTCTTTTTAGATAAAAGGAATACGTTCGAAGAAAAGAGCTAGAGAAATTGATGAGATGCTCACTTCTTTTGACCTGCTAGATAAAAGTAATACTTTGTCAAAGGATCTTAGTGGAGGAATGAAGCGCAAACTCTCCATCATTATAGCTCTTATAGGGAATACTAAGGTAAATAACAGTTACAATGAATTCTTGTAAGGCTGATAAGATGGTTCCATGATAAAGTACCTGCAGGGTATATGGAGACCTGAATTTGGATTCCCAACACCCAGGTAAAAGTGCCAGACATGGCCGTAGGTGTCTATAATCTTAACCTGAAGATGGTATGGAGACAGGCAGATCCCCAGAGCTTACTGTCCAACCAGTCCAGTTCATCAATGAATTCTGGGTTCAATTTGAGTCCCTGCCTCCAAAGATAAGATATAGAATGATTGAGGAAGACATAGGACTTCAATTTCTGATATCCACACATGTATGCATACATAGTAAGAAATAAAACGTAAAATGGGTCTTTATTCCTCCAGATGCAAACACAAAAGCTGGCATAAATCCAACTCTCCAAAATTGTAAGGAGAGGGGCTTCCGTTTATTAATGTAGCTGACATAATGTGGTCATAGGTGTGACAGCTAATGATTTAGCAGTTATTCATAGGATGAGATAGAGTCTGTATCTTTGCTTAAATATGTCTTCCATGTATAGTAGGTTATCCCACATGCAGCAAGCATGAAGTAAATAGAGCCATGATTACTTATTCTTGTCTCTAGGTGGTAATACTTGATGAGCCAACGTCTGGCATGGATCCAGTCTCAAGGAGGACCACCTGGGACCTACTTCAGCAATATAAAGAGAACCGTACCATCCTGCTGACCACACACCACATGGATGAAGCTGATGTGCTGGGTGATCGCATTGCCATCATGGTCTCGGGGACCCTGCAGTGCTGTGGCTCTTCATTTTTCCTGAAGAAATTATATGGTCTTTCTATTTGATTCTTTGAATATTGTTCTGTAATAATATTCTTTTAGTTAGGCATGGTGGCATGTGCCTGTAACTGTAGTGCTTGGTAGGCTGAAGAAGTAGGAATGATGAGTTGCAAGCTCTACATAGTGAGACCTTGTCTCAAGAAACATTATTTCAACATTGTTTTCATTCTTTTTTGTCTTCTCTATACAGACCTTTCTATATTCTATTGCATAAGATACAAAGTGTTTTGGTCCTTATTTCTGGTTATAATTTAGACATAACCTATCTATTCATTTTTTTCTATTTTGACCTAATAAGCATATTCTGAATTGAAAGATGCTCCTTATTGACCCAATGAATGTAATCATCATATTATTTCTTACACATGGTTGTTAACAACTAATAATTTGTCATAGGGACACAGATGTAATATATTGATCAGTGGATACTTATAGGGAAAAAAGTCAATGACCACACTGATATCTGACATTGTTTTCTCATTTAAACATTGGTATCAAATCCCCACTATTGAGTTAAATTTTTTCTAGTTTAGTTTTACAAGCTATTCCTAAAATGTGGCAGCTGATCAATCATAACTTACTGGGCAAGACGTAAATGTAAAGTAGGATAAAATAGCCTTGACTTTAGTGAGTATACAGTCTGTTTGGTTCGTAAGACTAAATTATTTCCAGGTCTAGTGATACAGGACTGTAATTCTAGCAATTCAAGAGGCTGACGCAGGAGGATTGTGAGTTGAAGGACTACCTGGGCTACAGAATGAATTCCAATCAAGCTTTGGCAATTTAGGGGAAATGTTGTCTCCAAAAATATAGAGGGCCTGGGAAGATGGTTCGGTGGAAGCTTAAAGATCCAAGTTAGTATCTCCAGCAATGATGTAAAAAGCAGGGCATGGTGGTCTGTACCTGTAACTGCAGTCATGGAAGGGCAGAGACAAGAGGATCATGTAACTTTCCTGACCAGCCAATCTAGCCAAATTGGGAACTTTAGGTTCTGTGAGAGAACCTCTTTCAAAAAAATAAAATATTAAGACCCAACTGAGGAAAAACCTGCAACATCTCCAAATGTGAACACACAAACACCCTTCCCTCCACACAGACAGCCAACTCCACACAGCCCACAAATAAATAAGTACAATTTGAAAAGTAAAAAGAGTATTGGAGGTATAGCTCAGTGGTAGAGCACTTGCTTGTCAAAGCATGAGACCCCATGTTTGATCCTCAGCACTACAAAACAAAACATAAAATGACAAAGTAAAAAGAGGGAGTAGAATGCTTGCCTAACATGCATAAACCCTATGTTAACCCTTAGTGCTGCAAAACAAAGACATTTTATATATATATATATATATATATATATATATTAATATATATATATATTAATACAAACCATTTGCTATATATTTTAGAATAATTGGTCTCAAACTAGTAAGAAATACTAGTTAGTAAGAAATTGGAAGATACAAACTTGGAAGACACAGATCAATGAGTGTAGGTAATGATGACTTCATTACAGTATTTGAATTCATTCAACTCACATTTGCCATTTCTCCCATAGGTGAGTTGTTAGATCTCACTCTTCATATACATTATTTAATATTATATGCAGATCTCTCCCTTCTTATGGGTAAGAAATCTGAGGCTCATATTTCAGTAATGAGAAATCCAGAAAGTAATTGGAAGAAACTTGGGCCTGGGTGCATCTGACACCAAAGCCAGTGCTTTTCTGAAATTAATGGTGACTCGTCACCTTCCAGGGAGATAGACCACCTCTTCTTTTCCCTCCTCCAAAAAGGAATGTGGGTTTTAATAGTAAATTTTCTGAATGTCACAAGTAGGGTAAATAATATTGTTGAAGGCCTTTGCACTTTTTTCTTCAGTAAATTGAAACTGACATTCTTACAGGAGGTCAACTGGACACACACAACTAGTGCCTGAATATATTAACTATTGATTGGGTTTTCAGTTTAAAAAGATGCTTAAAGGAGCAATAAGGGCTGGGAACATGCTTAGTGAGTGAAGTGTCATGACTGAGTTTGGGTCCCATGTAATGGCTAATACAGGGTGGGCATGGTGGCCTGCCTCTAATCCCAGCTCCAGGGAGACCAAGACTTGGAATCCCCAGAGCAAGATGCCTAGCTAAAACAGCCAGGTCTTTGAGCTCTGGGATCAAGTAAGAGACCCTGCTTCAATATGTAAGGAGGATAGTGCTCAAGGAGGACATCCAGTGTCAACATCTGTCCCATAGCCACACACATGGACATATACACACATACACATGTACTTGCACACCGAAGAGCACACATACATTCATGCACACATTATATATATACACACACACACAAAAGAGCAATGGAAAAGTAGGTTTTTAAGATAGTAAATAAATACATAATAAAAGTATGAAGGCAGGCTGGGTAGTGGTGGCACACGCCTTTAATCCCAGCACGCAGGAGGCAGGTGGATCTCTGTGAGTTTGAGACCAGCCTGGTCTATCTTGTTCCAAGACAGCCTCCAAAGGCACAGAGAAACCCTGTCTCGTTTCCGAAAAAAAAAAAAAAAAAAAAAAAAAAAAAAAAAAGATAACGTCTAACGTCTATCACTGACCTGAGCTCTCCAAGCAGGCAAATTGCTGTCAGGGGTGTCTAAGAGACACCCAAAACAACACAGACCATTGCTACTGCTCCTGGATGCCTCCTGGATTTTGAAGTAAATAATCTATATTTAATACAATCATTGATAGAATTGGGTTTCCAGCTGCCACCTTCCTTTGATTTTGTGCCTGTGCTCTTTAAGTACTCTATGTTCACTGGTGCTTTCTATCCTAATATTTTTGTTTCTTTCATTCTTTTATCACTATTGCTCATTTGCTTGTTAACTTAATGGTGTCTAACTCGAGAAGAGTGAGTGACTAGTGACTGGCCACAGCATCTCTTGTATCACTTCTGCTTAGTATCCAAAATTTGCCTTTTGTCCTCATAATCAGGGACAGCTATGTAAAAGACATTTCTGCTGGACTCTAATGGTTGTTTTTGATTGTGGATAATTCTCTGTACTTAAAAAATACAGAATATGCCCTAACACCCACCTCATTCTTCCAGACATTTCCCCTTCCAGACATTTGCCTCCTCAGCCATCCTTTCCTCATCCTGTCTCCAAATTTAACGACTTCACTGACATCTTTTTTCTTTTGGGGTGGGGTGGGGGTTGGTTTTTCAAGACAGGGTTTCTCTGCAGCTTTGGAACTTATCCTGGAACTTGTTCTGTAGACCAGGCTGGCCCAAACTCAGAGATCTATTTGCCTGCCTCTGCCTCCCAAGTGCTTGGGATTAAAGGCATGTGCCACCACCACCCAGAGTGACATCATTTTTTTAACTGACCAAATTCAGCTACATTTCTTCACAGAGATATAGACCTCTAGGATTTTTAGATCCTTGGACTAGCTCAAACCATCCTTGGGATCTAAATCATGCCTGGTTTATAATAAGTCTTCAATAAATATGTATTGAACCATCAAATAATGTTTATCTTTGTTCTCTCAGCTACCAGTTAACCATTTTAGACAGAAAGAAGAATACTCACAGAGAACACCTTCTGTAGTTATCTGATTTATAACTTAGATTGCTACTGCTTGACTCTGGTCTCTGTTGGCAGTAGGTGATAGCTACTGTAGTACATTCCCTAAGAGTTGGGGATTGTAGCTCTGTGGAAGATCACTTGCCTCACATGCTCATAGTCATGGGTTCAGTAGGGGGAGGAGAGAGTCTGTAGAGTCTGTGTCAGAGTCAAGCACATGCCTGGCTGTGACCAGGCTGCCTGTGGCCAGCTCCATTCCCAGCACAGCTCTGGCAGAAAGTTCTTCAATATCATCATTAACAACTCATTGATCCAATTACTCTCCTTTCTGTTCCACTTCAGAAATATAATCTCTCGTTCCCCGGGAGAATACATCTCCTTGGTGTAAGTTAATTTTAACACAGGATGCACACTACACCTTATTCTCTACATGTAACCAGAAAATCAGAGTGAACTACTACCTGCCATTTGCAGAAGTCAATGGTCAAAGACACAACTCAAATCTTTTAAACCTTGCTTTATTCAGAGAATGATCATTTGAAAAGAAGAAGATTGGTTAAATAGCCTCAAAAATCTAATATCTTGTCTCAAGCTGGCAGATTACAGAGAGGAGGTGGCCTGGGGAACAAAGGCAGTCCATCCTGAGATGCTAGGAGACTCACTTGTTGATGTCCATGCTTCTCAATTACCAGCCCTGCCCCATATGTGGGTTCTGCACTTCTTGAAATGCTGAGTCAAGTTGTTTTCTTCTGGTTCCACCAGGGGCATCAGAGTTTTGTAATGGAGGATCACTCAGAATAAGCTAAACATTAACAGTGCTTCGTGCTAAGTTCTTTCCAACATGGGCAACTGTTTGATGATGTAGCATTCATGTGTGTCTTCATATCATAGAACAAGAAATGCCTTGCCTTATGCAGTTAACAGACATGAATTGTGGAGATTAAGCATGCTTTAGCAGAGAATATTCAATGGCTTCATTTGACCTTCTAAATGGAAATTTTCAGGTGTGGGATATCACCTAGTTATGGTGAAGACTCCTGAATGTGATGTTGAAAAAATCTCCCAGCTGATTAGGGATCACATACCAACTGCAGAGATGGAGATGAATGTTGCAGCTGAATTGTCATTTATCCTGCCGAAGGAGTACACACACAGGTAAAGACCCAGAAATGCTGCACAGTGCCCACTGGGTCATCAGAAACTACCATGACCTTTCCAGGCTTCCTCGGGATTGGCTAATAGATCCTTGCCATTTGCCTTTTGAGATATACTAGTAAGAGCATTTGCTTTATAAGATTTCACTAATTTTACAGGAGGATGGATGCCACAAAAGGTAGCATCCATAGATCTTCATGTCCAAGCATTGAAACCTGGGATTAATTAATGATAAGATAGGGCACTATATTGATATATTTTTTCTTCTTGATGAGTAGAGACAAGTGAATTTATTTTGTTCTCTAAGAGGGTTTTTAATGTTTTCTCTTGATTTTAGTATAATATATAATGTATAAAGTACATTGTGATGCCTTGATAAATGCTTATGTTACAGAATGATCAAATAATAACTGCATTACCTCATATACTTAGTTTTATAGAAAAGACATCTGAAAGTATAAAATTCATCAGATTTATAGCCACCATTCTGTGCTAGGGATCAGTGAAGATTACTGATCCTATTTAACTAGGCATTTATAATTTTGATCAACAGCCACATCCCTGCCTCCACCCCGGCAAGGCTCTGATGCCTTCATTTGCTTTCTACTTCTGTGAGTTCAGAGTTTTAGATTCCCTTTATACATGAAATCATGTGCTATTTGCTTTCATGTGACTGTGTTTTTTAACTGAAGATATTGTCTTCTAATTATATGTGCATTGACACAGATAATGACTCTGTTTTTCCTTATCTTTAAAGGCCATATAGTAGTGCTGCACTGTGCACTTACACAATGTAATGTCATTTTTAAAAACTATGTTGCTCCTATAACTCAGACACTGTGAGTTATACTGTAATGAACAAAGGAAGGGGTGCTGATCTCAGTTCACTTAGCTATATAATCAGAAGTTTAGTTTTCTGGCAACTTCAATAGGAGCACTGCTGTGCTAATTACAGCACTTCCAAGGACACACAAATAAGAGGACCTTCACTCTCTAACTTCTCCAGAATGTACTTTTTTATCCCTTTTAAAAGCTGTTCTAACAGGTCTGATATTTGCTGTGTTTTTAATTTTTATTTCCTTGGGGTTTTTGTGTTTATGTTAAAAACTTGTAAATCGTCCTTTGAAAAATGTCTATTTATGAATTTCTCCATTTTGACTGGATTGTTTGTTTCCTTGATATTGAGTTCCTTCTATTTCAAATATTAGCCCCTACAAAATCTATAGTTTGCAAATATTTATCCCCAAATGTGAGCTGTCTCTTTATACTAGCATTTAGGAAGTTTTTTAGCTTGAAGTAACCCCTCTTTTTTTCTTTATAAGTAATCTCATTGACTGTGCTTTTTGAATTTTATCTAAGAAGAAATATTTGTTCAGATCAACATCATGGAGGCTCGACTGTGCTTTCTTGTGGTTGTTTTCCAGTTTTAACATTTAATTTCATCCAATTGGGTATGATTTTTGTTTTGTGAAATCAGGCCTTAGTATGTAGCCCTGGTTGGCATTGTAGGCTGATTTTTTTCACATATAATATAGAGTGAGGTTCAGTTTAATTCTCTTGCATGTGAGTAACTTTCTCAATGTCTTTGTGGAGCACTGTTAGCATCGACTGTCAACTGTGTGGGTTTGCTCCAGTGCTCCCTACTTTTTTACATTGTTCAGTGTCTGTCTTGGTGACTGCAGTTTTCTGTTAGATTTTTAGAGTTATGTGATGTGATGTGTCCAGCTGAGTCCTCTGCTCAGGTTCTTTTCAGCATTTAAAATCTTTGTTTCTCTGAGAAGTTTTGAGTAGTTTTTCTATTTCTGTGAGAAAATCCAGAAAATGATAATAATAAAAACGTTATATATGTATATATATTCTTTCTTACTTAGCATTCATTGTATTTTATTTTGAAATCACTTATTATGTAAAAACTAGAATAATGTTGATAATAAACACACACATACACAGACACAGAGAGAGAATATAACAAAGGCTTTTCATTGCATGAATGAATAAATTGAAGGGTTTAAAAATTCCTCATATCTCTCCACAGAAAAACCAGTTCTAACTGCTGGATTTCTAGGACAACCTGAAGCTACACAGTGCATATGTTAGCATGTACATGTGCATACTTGTTACCACCTTGGAAAACACATTAGAATAATATATAAACCTTGCCCTTGCCTCTGATCATGAGAGAATGGGGTTTGTAGCCAACTTTAATTTAAAATATAAGTAACTTCAGCCAGAGGTTTCCATAATGGATTTTGTGTCTCATGGCCATGCCAGTCCTTAGAAAGAGTGAAGGCTCTCAAGAATGGAGGATTCCCTGGAATGAATGGGTGTTAAAGAATGAGTTTCTACGACATTTCAGAGCACCTAGTCTTGCACCAGCACCCACATGTACTCAAGATGGCTCGAGACTCCCCTGGTTTCGGGAGGGGCAATTTCTACCCAGTTCCTAACGTCTAGGATGTTTTTTCCTTTTTCTGCTTTGGGTGTCTTATACTTATTATTAAATTATAAATATTTGTCCTGTTTGCTTTAGTGTATCACAGAAGCTATGGCATGTAGTAAGTGAATTAAATCTTAACTAGCAGGGGAAGCAGAAAGTCAGTATATACAGAAAGGTAAGCAACTTGGTGGTGTAACTTCCCTCTGATGCTGCTCATTCATGATTTATCAGGAACATGGAAACCATAAATACCAGGATCATTTCAGTGATGCATTAACTGCCCTCTTTACACAGCTGAGGGAAATCAGCCCAGAACAGGTGTGTGTGTGTGTGTGTGTGTGTGTGTGTGTGTGTGTGTGTGTACAAATACTGTCTGTTATCTTTTAGGTTTGCAGAACTTTTCACAGACCTAGAAGAAAGACAAGAAGAGCTGGGCATCATTGGCTTTGGTGTCTCCATGACTACCATTGATGAAGTTTTCTTCAAGTGAGTACCCGTGCTCTGCCCCTGTTGTGTCAGGTGACATCATCTGCTCTCTGTGATTCCCAGTGCTGTGTCTTTGGAGTAGTCTTTGTTCTCCCAACTCTTCTTGTTCATCATGTCACATGGAGGCAGCTTCTAAAGCACCATTTTCCCCAGAAGCCCTTAATATATTCTTATACTGTGGTTTCTGTTATTCCATGTAGCATTTCTTCTTTATAATGCGTGCTAATGCATGCACACACACACTTCTCACATAGAAATCATGAACTAATTAGAGAGAAAATTAACCATGTTTGCATTTGCTTTGTAAAGTAATCCATACATTTATTTGACTAAAAATTTAGAAAAACAAATATATTAGACTTACATAGAATTAGAAATATAAAAATAAAGTTGCAATTATCACTATAATTTTGTAAAATGTAGAACATTTAGTAACTATTGCCCTAGAAACAAGGAATACATTGTTTTGGAACTTTGTTCATGTTTAAATTATTTTGTGCCTCTGGGCTGGGGCTGTAGATTGGTGGACAAGTGCTCTTCTGGCATACACAAAGCCTTGCATTCAATCTAGAGTACCAGAAATTTGATGATGCTGGGGTTTAGACCCCCAGGCCTCAGGAATACTGGGAAATTGCTTGATCATTGAGATGCAATATTTCCCCACACTTACACCCAAAGCATGTTTCCCATCATTAATGTTAGCATTCTGTATAACACTCATTTAAAAAAAAAAAACTCTCTACAAAGGACAAAAGTTAGGGAACTACTATTGTAGTTAATGTTATTTCTTAATAGCATACGTACATACATACATACATACATACATACATACATACATACATACATACACACACATACACTAACAAGTGTGTGTATGTGTTTGTAGGGTCGGTAATCCACCAGACTTGAAGTTGAGTACTGAGACTATCGAGTCAGCTTCCTCAGGGGACCAAAGCAGGAATGAAGATATCCAGAATATTAATGTGCCCAGAAATTTTGATAGACCAGATTACCTAAGAGGACTCTTTAATTCTTCATTCAATACTGGGGTGAGCTCCTTCACCTAGAATATAATTCTGGTATGTTTGGAAGGAATAACAAATGACATTTCACTTTGTTAGCTTAATTCAGAAGAGTTGTGGGGCCCTTAGAGCAAGCCCATCCACACAGGGAAAATTTTATAAAGAAATCCACTTAACTGTCTAACTCAGTTGTGAAATAGTGAAGGTAAAAACATGTTTGTTTTAATTGTTATTGCATTTATTTACTCATTATGTGGGGTGTGTGTACACATGTGTACATGTGCATGTAGAGTCCATTCTCTCCTTCCTCCATGTGGGTTCTGGGGATGGAACTCAAGTCTGCAGGTTTTGCAGTATGCACCTTTAGCCACTAAGCCATCTTGCCAGCCCAGATTTCCTTTCACAGTTAATATTCCTCAAAGGACTTACTTTAGTTTTCAGAACAGTTAGTCCACTCAAAGCTGGGGAAGAGTGCTGGCACAGATGATGACAAACACTGCTTTCACACACAGACAATATTTCACTCTAGGTGTTGCTAAGGCACATGGGGCTGTTGCCTCATTGTCTAACGTGTGTTTTATTGCTGCCCTGATTTATCTTCCTTAAAACTGTTTGCAAGTGTGTACAGCAAAGAATCTTAAGACCATGGATGTATTTCTTAGAAACACTTCTTATGTTTTTCCCCATGGGATTTGGGAGCTTGTGAAATAGGGTATCATATACAATGAGTGTCTAGAATTTTGAGTTAAAATTATAATCCCTGTTGTCATGTAATGGATGGCTGTCTTTGGTCAAGCTGAGTTAATGTGGAAGAGGCTGTTTCAGGAGTGGAATATAGGCAAGTGTGCACTGTGCAACATCTGACATGAGATGCCATACCGTGCCACCTCCTCTCCCGGACATGGATAAACTGTGGGCATTTCTAGTGCTCTCTTGTTTTTCCTCATCTTTTGAGGGTGAGGTAAGAGCTTTCAGGTCAGTCTAGAGAACCTGATCCCTGGGTTAAAATACTCTTTGTTTTCTCAATCTAGAAATATATGTAAGAACCAGTCTCCTAAAAGCAGAAGTCGCCTTCTTCCTGTTAGGACCGTGATGGAAGAGACAGTTTCTCCCTCCACATTTTACCTTATTTCTAGGCAAAAAATAGCACCAATGTTATCCTTTTATCAGAACATATTGATTGATTAGGGATATTTTCTGACTCTGAATTATGGGATGTCTAAAATACAATAATTGTATTTTAAAATTTCAATATACTTAATATGTTCTCCTTTGACTCTCAGGCACCTTTTTTAAAAAAAGAAGTATGTATCTAAAGCAAAGTATTTAACTGAAAAGCAAACCCATACTCAGCTACAGATTGCTCCCAAAGTTTGAAAAATAGACAAAATTGTATGTTTATGTACATTTTCAAATTAATCATGGGGATTGCTTTGAATTTAGAGATTAAATGAAAATATACTGGGTACATTGCAATCTTAAGCAAAATTCTCTGTTTCCTGGTGCTCTGCAAGCCTGTAAGCCCGATATTAAAAGCTGTCCATAGAAACTTGATACAAAATGTAACGTTGAAAGATGGTGTTTAATGTAAAAGAATGGGTGTGGTGTTCTGCAAAGAGGCACTATGAACACACTAATGACTCCCATCTGGGGACTCTCACAATAATCAAGTTAGGTGCCAAGTTGTAATGCCTTCAGAGAACACAGAGTACCTGGTCTACCAGCTGCTCTCTTCCTTCTGCACATCTGTCATCACACAACTAAAGACATGTATACTATTGATTTCCACCAAGGTCTGTGACCACTGTAATGCTGCCCCCCCTCTCTCTTGTAGTGGGCTCTTTACATCCAGCAGTTCAGAGCCATGCTCATCAAAAGGGCAATGTACTCTTGGCGCAACTGGAAACAGCTATTGTTGCAGTTGCTGACACTTCTGGGTCTCATGTATCTTCTGACAGAAGGCATAAGCTTCCCAACACCAGAAATGCCTGCCAGGGTGATGGACCTGAAGCAGTACGGTGAGACCATAGTGCCTTTCTCAATTTCTGGAGATCCTCATTTGACCCAGAGTCTCACCAAAAATCTTGAGATCATATTAAAGGCTAAAAAACAAAAACTCCATGAAGTGCAAGGTAAGTGTATTACAAACAGATAAAGAAGACCTGCTTATCTAATTTGAAAGACAGTCTTTTTTAAAAAAAATCTGGTAAAGTATTGATGTTTTATTGATACTTTTCCATTTAACTTTTAGTTGTTATATAACATTTTTATTTAAATTCTTTAATTACTACTCATATTTACATATCCATCCCCCACATTCCCTCGCCCTTACATCCTCCCATGTTCCCCACCAACCTCCCTCAACCCATCCCCAAACTCTTCCCCAGGGATAGTGAGGCCCTCCACCAGGGACCTTCAACGTCTGTCATATCGTTTGGGAGAGGACCTAGACCCTCTTTGCTGTATCTGGACTGCAATAGTATCTCTCCATAGGGAAGGGGCTCCCAAAGGCCATTTGTGCTCTAGTGTTAAAGACTGGCTCCACTGTTAGAGTTGCCAGAGACTTGGCCTCCTAGCTGGCACCTGCATTCAGAGAGCTTGGTTCGGTCCGATGCTGTTTCCGCAGGGTTAGGACTAGGGTCTCCATGCTCTCATTCGGTCAGGTCAGCTGTTTCTGTGGGTTTCTGCAGCAGCCAGAGGAGGCCCCTCACCTCATGCCCCATGGTTTTCATGAAGGAGGAGGACAAGGTATACTTTCAAAAGCAGTCCTGTTTCTGTTTTGAACAGCTACTGGATGAAGGCTCTAGGAATGGTAACCAAGGTAGACACCAATCTCATTATAGAAGAAGGGCATCAATGGCATTTTCTCCACCACTGCTTGGATTCTTAGTTGGGGTCATCCCTGTGGATCCCCTAACATTTACCCTGTGCCAGACATCTCTCCATACCTGTATTGTCTCCCTCTATCAAGGCATCTCCTTTCTTGCCCTCCTCTATTCCTCCCCTCTCTCAGGCCCCTTGTTCTCTTCCTCTGTCCCTTTCTTCCCTTCCTGCCTCCTTCCTCTCCACCCATGCCCCTTGATTCCACTTTGTTCAGGGGTTCTCATCCCTCTCCATTTCTTCTAGGTACTATTCAATCTTCTCTTGGGGTCCTCCTTGTTTCCTAGCTCCTCTGGCAGTGTAGATTATAGACTGGTAATCCTTTGTTCTATGTCTAAAAATCATATATGAGTGTGTACATACCATGTGTATCTTTTTGTGACTGGGTTACCTCGCTCAGGATGGTTTCTTCTAGTTCCATCCATTTGCCTGCGAATTTCAAGATTCCATTTTTTTTTCTGCCAAGTAGTACTCCATTGTATAAATGTACCAGATTTTCTCTATCCAGTCTTCAGTTGAAGGGTTGCTTCCATGTTCTGGCTATTACAAATAATGCTGCTATGAACATAGTTTAACATATGTCCTTATTGTATGAATATGCATTCTTTGGGTATATGCCCAAGAGAGGAATTGCTGGATCTTGAGGTAGACTGATTCCCATTTTCCTGAGAAACTGCCATACTGAGTTCCAAAGTGGTCTTACAAGTTTGCACTCCCACCAGCAATGGAGTAGTGTTCCTCTTTCTCCACATCCTCTCCAGAATAGACTGTCATTGGAGTTATTGATTTTAGCCATACTGATAGGAGTAAGATGGTATCTCAGAGTTTTATAAGAAAGTGAACAGAGAAAATCAAGAGGTTTTACTAGTTTTACAAGTCTGATGTAAATATGAAGCTTACTTGTAGGAATTTATCATTTTAGAGCTTAGATTTTTATTTTGTTCCTGTTTGGGCATATTTGTAATTCTTAGTTTGTGTCTTTTTGGATTCATGGAATCTCTGAAAGTTCTTACAAATTTATGGCTTTTTAACTTTTTGCTGTAATTCTTACCACACTGGTCTGGCATGCTTTATCTTTCTACAAGGATGGGACAGAAAGGGTAATAAAAATTGTCGAAGTTAACTCTCTGATTTTTTTCTTCTTAAATATTCACAATTCCAAGTAACTCTGTTTCTTCATGTAGACTTATTTTATGTTTTTGTTTAGCCTTCATATTCTCTGAGGAAAAGTTTTGATTTTCTATGAGGTGATTTGTAAAAGCTAGAAGTAGCAGTTCTTACAAACATTTTCATGTAGAAATGGAAAGGTTTGAGAGTGAGAAAGAAATTTGAGAGTGTTAGTTTCAGTAGCCTATATGTTTTTTAGTGAAATTAAGCTAAAAAGTATAAAATTTATGTGACTGAGTGATGGATTCTCGGGGTGAATGACTGAGGTGTAATGAGGTTGCTGTGAAGTGCCCAATAAGTAAACTATTAGGTTATTTCTCTTTAAAACATATGGTCACCAGGTGTGACACACACCTTTAATCCCAGCACTAGGGAGGCAGATCCAGGCAGATCTCTGTGAGTTCAAGGCCGGCCTGGTCTACAGAGAGAGTTCCAGCACATCCAGGGCTACTCAGAGGAATCCTGTCTCAAAAAAACAAACAAACAAACCAAACTAACAAAAAACCCAAGCCCCCACAAAACAAAATGAAAAAAAACGAACCCCCCCATACCATGTAGTCAGTGATCTTTATTGCAGCTGGTCTATGACCACTATTGCTCCTCCTTCCAGGTGATGTGCAGAGCTACTTGGTGACAAAGAAAGAATGCATTTATTCATGCATCATTGCATTTTCCCTTCATGTTACTAGAGACAAGAAGACATTTACCTTTTGGTTCAACAATGAGGCATACCATTCATCATCATTATCCTTGTCAGTTTTAGACAATATTATTTTTATGTCTCTCTCTGGCGCTGATGCTACCATTACTGTTTCCAACAAGCCCCAGCCTCGACAAGTCATTGAGAACAAATATAAGAAAAGGTATGTGTTTTTGTTAACCTGGGATAGTTTAAATTGATCCTTTTCTTCCTGTCTCACTATGTTTGTAATAAAGTGCTATTGTTAGCAATTAGTATTTTCATTATACCCTTGTGTGTTCTTTATTTATTCTTTTGTAGACACATACAAGGATTTGAGATTGTCCTTAACTTACTCTTTGGGATGAGTATTTTCACCAGTGGCTTTTGCCTTATGACAGTGGCTGAGAGAGTTAGTAAAGCAAAGCACATCCAGTTTGTGAGTGGAGTCTACACCTTTAATTTTTGGCTCTCTGCTTTGCTGTGGGATCTCACCATTCATTTTGTTGCCTGTGCCCTATTGCTGGTAAGTATTGTGTGTATTGTCTTGAGGGCTGCCTCTCATACACCATAGATGTTTTCTACTTGTCTGACATTTACTAAAATAGAAATCTCCCCAGAAATGGTAAAAATGGCTTGACTAATCAATCAAGTCAAAGAATCTATTGTGGAATATTTCTCAAAGTAAAAAGAAAATCTTTCTCTTGCATTTTTTTAAAGGAAACAGCTAACTCCTGACATATTTGGCCACCAATGTGGACTCCCTTCGAAGCTATTTTCTGTATGGAAGGATGTGTTGAAAACAGACTAGTTGTATACTAACAAACACTACATATATTTTCCTCTTCCTAGTGCTTCCCCGTTTCCCAATGTGTTGTAATTCTCTGTTATATATACTCAGATTTTGGTGGTTTTCTCTAGAAATTGTTAAATTATGCCATGAACCATTGAAATTTTGTGTGTGTGTGTGTGTGTGTGTGTGTGTGTGTGTGTGTATACACTCACATATGTGTAAACCTTTTGCTTTGAAGGCCACATTTAATAGAATAGATACCACATAGATGCTGATCTATGTGTCCCTCTTAGGGTCCTCCTTGTTACCAAACCCTGAATTGTACTCATCATTTCATTTAGTCATATATTTGTGTTTTCTTACATATTTTTCAGAAATTTATTGCTATTTTCTTTAAGATTATTGGGATGTTTGCTCTTGTCTTCTTTAAACTCCTGGAATCTTTGGAGTTTATGATTGTCTTTTAACTTCTGTATCCTGGGATTCATATAGATAATTTTCATTGAAGAACATTTCTATTGGATTGGTGGATTTGGAGGAGATGTAATGTCTTGGCCTTTCATACTATTTGTGTTTTTTCAGTGAGACCTGAGTATGTAGACTTGTATGTCTGATGTGAGATTCTAAGATGCCTCAAACTGATCTGACATACAGGCTAAATGGCCAAGGAAAGGCCTTAGGGTAGCATAGGTAGGTGAGGTTTCAGAAACTCATTGACTGGATAGACTAGGCATATGTGGGATATGGTGGAAGTAGTCTTGGGTCCTGTGGAGTCACCAGACTAGACTGGTGCAGGGGATTTGTAAGCATGACCAAGGCTTGGGGTTGAGAATGACAGGACTGATAGGACTGAATATCTAAGATGTGCAACCTGGGCTAGGTATGAATATTAGAGAGGATGTAGGTAGTGGAGGGTTCAGGGAACTTAACATGCTGAATATCTAAGTATGGGATGTGCATCCTGAGCAAGGCCTGGAGGTTAGATGTGGAAATGGACAGGTGGGCTGAATCAGAATAGGCTAGTGCAAAGAATGTAAGGCCAGGGCCAGCCTGTGGGCCGGGACCTGAACATGTGTGACTGATCAGACTTCAGTCCTCATATTTAAAATATCACTCATAAGTAGTATAATCTTGGCATTAATTTGTTTTGCAGACTGACAAACTTAACCTTAGAACTAGAGTAAATAAGTATTGACATAGTTGGGTTTATATCATCATATTGTCGTGTTTTATGTTCCTCTTATTTTTATTCTGTTCCCTACTCAGGATGTGTTAAATCTTACTTTCATATCCATCCTGAAGATGAATATGCATATGTGATTAACTTCTATCATTTGAGTTATTGCTGTTCCGTATCCCTAATAGTTCCCAGACCTTAGAACCTTAGTATATCAGTCAAGCCCCTTCAATGTCTTGCTATACTGTGATCAAGCATTTTAATTTCTCGTGTCCATTTTCCTTAAGAGATTGCCTCTGGATGTTTAGTCAGGATTCACTTGGATTTGATACCTCATCTTCTCACATTCCTTAGCTCCATAAACACATGCAATGTTTCTTCTCTCTTGATCACCCACATATCTTTCACTACTATATTGTCTCTGTCATTGAACATTTCTTTGCATGGCTTCCCTGGGTGGCTCCTCCATTTTATCAACCTTGTTTTATGCTGTGTCTACTCACTTGCTCAGTTTTGCTTGTGTTCTTTGAGTATAAAATGTCTGGGTTTTTTGAAATGTAAATTATCTGGTGAAATTCTTTGCTTATCAGCAGATTCTCTGTTTCTATTATTATCTCTGTAAATTTACACATTATAGCTGTGCCTACTCTGAAGAAGTGAATACAGCATGCATTGGTCAAATGTGTGGTCTGCACAGCACTCAATCCTTTATCAGTTGTTTGTGTTGGTCCATTCTTCTAGCTATTTTTGAAATATATAACAAAAATATCATTCACAATAGTAACCACCTCTCCACTTTTTTATTTAAGCATATTTATTAACTAAGTAGCTATATCAAATGCATATGTTTTAAGTTTATTATGGGAAACCTTATATCTGGAGCACTTTGAGGCAGGTATATGTTTCTAGTTTTACACTTTTCTCCCAGACTTTGACCATTTGATCTTTTGATATCCCTTCTAATTGTTTATTGAGTCATACAATTACAACAGAATCATCATGATTTTAGTGTCCTCCAGAGTCTTAAGCAATTCCTCTGGTAGCTGATGACACATGAGGTAATCTCTCTCATCCTGTCAGAAATTGTGCTGACAGAGAGGTGTTACAGTCACTGTGATCCTTAGTCTTGACAAAAGCTGCCCATTTTTCCTTCCCCAGGAAGTATCTTGAATAACTTCCCTCAGATTCTCTATTTTCCCACTAACTCCTCATAATGTCTACTTCATAAAACATTTTTAAGGAATGAAATCTGGGATTATTTCTTTCACGCTTTAGTTGACTAGGAAGTAATTGAAAAGTTAATTAAATAATCTACCCTATTCATAGAAATTTCGATGTTTAAAACCTAGCAAACCCCAAACCTTAAAGTAGGAAATATGAATAGTCTTACTCACTCTGAAATTTGAGAATTCCCTCCCCCCCCCACAAAAGCTGACAATAAGGAATTAAGAAACAAATAGTACATTGGGATCTGTAACTACAACTTTTATGAAAGGAAAACTCCAAGATGAATTGTTTTATTTACAAAATCTATTTAATGCTTAGGGAACAAATACTATCTATCAATTGTAAGCCAGCATCTCCAGGAGACTGATGAAAATCATTCTAAATTAATTTTTGAAGAAGGTTAACATTGATTTATAGAACCTTATAATGATAAGGAAAACTATGCTAACATAATTAATATAACCAACATAAGACTAGCATTATTATTCATAGTGGTGAATGTATTAAATGTATTAATGTATCATACTATGGTATAATGCCTTAGTATTACAACATAAAATTGTGATCCTTTATTGTTACACCTTAACAAAAGGAAGCCAATAGAAAGAGAGAAAGAAATAAAGGAAGTTTTTTCTGTGAAATGAACTAATTTGTAAAAACAGAGTTATCAGGAGTTAAAGAAAAAAAATTCCTGTCTACCCTTTCATCCACTCTTCCTAGGCCTCCATTCAGAAAGGGGCAGGCCTCCCATTTTGGCATATCAAGTTGAGGCAGGGCCAAGCTCCTCCTCCTGTATAAAGGCTTGGGAAGGCATCCCAGCATGAGGAATAGGGTCCCAAAAGCCAGCTCATGCACCAGGGACAGGTCCTAATCTCACTAATTGATAGTAAGGGGCCCATAAACAGACCAAGCTACACATCTGTCATACATATGCAGGGGGCCTAGGTCAGTCCCATGTAGGCTCCCTAGCTGTTGGTCCAAAGTCTGTGAGCTCCCACTGCTCAGGTAAGCTGTCTCTATGGATTTCTCCATCATGATCTTGACCCCTTTGGTTTGTACAATCCTTCCTCCCTCTCTTCAGCTGGACTCCTGGAGCTAGGCCCAGTAGTTGGCTGTGGATAAGAAAATAGGGGCAAGTTTTTAACATTATCAGCTCAGTCCTTACTTCCAGCAGCTTCTTGCCTCCTTGTGAATCAAAAAAAAAAAAAAATGATGAGCCTCTACCTAAACTCACTGCAAGCTTGCAGCAACATGAAACTCAGCAACATAGAAAATAGCTAATATATATCATTTGTTTTGTGTTTTGGTGTCCATCTCAGCTGGTGTTCCTAATCACTGATATACATGTATTGTTGGAGAAATACCATTTCCTGGACACGATGTTCATCCTCATGCTGTTTGGATGGTCTATCATCCCCTTCATCTACCTGCTAAGCTTCTGGTACAACAATAGCACCAGTGCCTATATCAAGATTTTTGTCTTAAACCAATGTTTAGGGTTTATGAGTGTAATTGTGGATGCAGTGGTACATATCATACCAGGTAAGGGATTCACAAAGTTTCTTCCTTCCAGGGGCTTCTTATAAATAAAGAAAAATGACTTTGAGGAAAGCAGTACTACAAATTTCTCTTGTTCTGGGTTTCTGTCCCTAAATATTATAACACTATATTGAGCCACTAATATCATAAAGCAATGACTTTTAAGACCTTGTTCTCTCGGGTTTCCTTCTTTGATCACAACATTCAAGGACAATAGACTGTAGTGGTGATGAACACAAATAGGAATACTTGAGAATAAAAAATGTTGCCACTCCTTGACCAAAGCACAGTGTAAACATTAATGTTTTATTTATAAATATGTGTTGCAGAAACTAGGAGAAAGAGGCTTCTAACAAACACCCTCAACATCAAGTCTTGTCCTCCCACTAGATATTTGGTTATCTGAGACTATAATATTTATGATGTAACTTTTCAAGGAGTGCCACTAAAGCCAGATAAAAGAAATTGTTCTCTAATTTGTAGACATTATTCTTCAGTATTATTCCCAAATCAATCACTGTGCTATCAATTCTCTATATTATTTCTTATTTCTGCTATAACAAATTGCCACTAATGTATAATTTGTATCGATTTAAATAACCTCCCTGGAGTAAACACAACTACATATTACATATCCCATAAATCTGCCTGAAATTTTGGAATCAGGTGTTGAAGACTTGAGTCAAGAGTGACTGATTTGAGATGGGTAAGAGGATCTGTGATAAGAGGATCATAGCTGCTGCTTATAATTTCATTTTTACAAGTTTGCTAAACAGTAGCTTTAGAAAAAAGAACTATTTGTGTAACTTGCAAAGTAGTAAGAATACAAAATGCTCTTCAGTCACCATAAAGTCAGTATCTGGATGCACAGAGCCTCTTACATTTTTGCCTAAAATGAGTTATCCAGCAGTAATTCTGAGAAATTGCAGGGTTATCTTCTCTCATGAATCTTTAGAGACTTTCAGAAGTTCTACATGGAAATAAAAGAACCAATCAAGGTGCAGAGAATGACTTCATAATGCTCAATCCTAAACAGGATATTTGTATCACATTCCCTTCTCCTAAGGCTCAGGGATCATGCCAGAAGAGTGGACAGAAAGATTGTAAGAGCCAGAGGCCATGGATGACTTCAAGAAAACTGCTTTCTGTCTGGACACATCAGGGCAATTTCACAACAGTTGATATTGCATATACAAGAGCTGGGCAAACTTCAACCAGATAAAATTCCATATGTTGGCAGTTGATGGGGGTACCAGGAGAGGAAGAGTCCATTTTCTTTAAGGGTATGGCCCCTAGTGAATTAATGGTCTTCTAATGAAGGCCATACATCTAAGAGTATATAGGCAGCACAAACTGCTTTACTGGTTAAAAGTGGTGTGTGTGTGTGTGTGTGTGTGTGAGTGTGGGAGGGTGTGAATTTGATAAAATACACTGTACATAATTTTCAAAGAGTCAAAAATGAGAAAGAAGAGTCATGGGAATATCTAAATGATTTCATGGAACAATTTGTTAGAAACTGTATTTACCTTTTTCTACTTTGAAAACTCTACCATAAAATGAGGGTAATTAATAAAAAGTACTGGGAATATTTAGCTACCAAATTTATTTATTAAAAAAGTAGCTGCATATTGAGCACCAAACGACTATCTTCTCCTCACAAAATCATCAAGAAAAT